TCTAATAATGCTCTATAGTAAAGCTTCTAAAATGAGATTATTAAGCTAAACAATGATAAATAACACAGAAAACACTTTCAGAGCAAAGAAAATGGAGAAAACACTCAGACAAGAGACTAATTTGCTCACTTTTCATGTTAACATCATAGAATCTCAGAGCTGGAAAAGACCTCAGAGGTCATCCAACACAATCTGAATCATGGAATCCTTCTACATCATTCCAGGCAAGTCTTTCCCCTCTACCCCCAGCATCCCTTTGAAGACCTTTGAGTGATGGAGAGTTCAGTAACTGTCAAAGAGCCCATTATAATTTGGGACCACTCTTAGTAGGAAGTTTTTCTTTCCATTGAATTTCAGTCTACCTCCCATTAACTCTCTCTTTCCCCCTTTTCTTTCTAGTTCTTTCTTCAGTGACTGAGCAGGACAGTTCTTCAAATACTTGAAAACAATGATTGTTACCCCACCCTTAACCCCCAATTCTTCTTATCTCCAGATTTAAACATCTCCAGTTCCTCCACTTGATCATCTTCTTATGTTCCTGTGGCCTGGGTTTCAGTCCCTTCCCAGTCCTGGTCACTCTCTCATATTCTGGCTTGTCATATCCTTCCTAAAACTTAAGTTCCAGAGTTGAACAAAGTTCTCCAAATGTATGCTGGCCAAATATATGCTAACTAAAAGTCCCTGGTAATTCTGTTTTGCCTGTATCGCTACCATTTACCTTAGCCATAGGAAGGTCTGAAAGCTGAACTCATCCTTGAGTTTAACTTCATCTCAAACCTTGGTATCTATTCTTTAGGCCTTTGCTTTCTTGTCTCCTTTTATGCTCTCTCAATCATTATGAGTTTTCATTCAACCCTGCCTATTCATCAGGACATAGGATGTTAATGTTTAATGTGACATAAGATCATTAATTCAAATCCTTCTATTTTACAGAGGAGGAAACTGAAGCTCAGAAAGGAGATGGGAATTTTCAGAGGTAGAGAGAGTGTAGGTGGCAGAACCATAGCCAAAACATAGATCTTAGGGTCACGGATAGAGTTGGAAGAGCTCTTAGAAGCCAATAAATGCAGCCTTGTTTTATAGAGGAGGAAACTGAGGCCTAAAGGATGAAGTAATTTGCCCAACGTTACAAAAGTGTAAGTATCAGAATTAGGATTTGGACCACAGTCTTTTCTCTTACTCCAAATCTACATTTTTTTCTCTCACATTACCGTGCCTCCTATGACTCAAAGCTCTACAATGCTTCATCAAGGCATCTAAATTTTCTGGTCATCTCAAGGGTCACAAGAACATGTGATTTCTTTGAAAGAACATTTGATTTCAACAAATATGTTAAGCACCTCTAATGAGCAAGACTCTGTAATTGGCACTGGGAAAACAAATAAGAGATAGTCCCTATTTTTAGGGAGCCTGTAATTTAATTCTTGTATCTATGATGCTAGGGAGTAGCTAGGATGGAAGTTTAACAGTTGTGATTCAACGGAAAATTAGCTGCAAATGTGAGATCTCTGTAAGGTAATTAGAGAAAGTTGCAGAGGAAAGCTCTTTCACAAGAGTTGTGTGTGAGAGAGTATCAGAGAAGGCTTCATGGAGAGAATGCATCTGAAATGGTCTCAGAGGAACAGAGGGAGAAGGAAAAAGTGTCAGTAGATGGGAGGAGGCTGAAAGAGGCAAGCTTAATTCTAGGTATTGAAAGAGGAGAGAATAAGATAAAATCGTAGACTCAGAATGGAAGAGATCTGAGAGATCTTTGAGTCCAGCTATCTCATTTTACAAATAAGGAAACTGAAGCACTCATTAGTATCTGAGGCATGATTTGAACTCAGGTCTTCCTGACTCCAAGATAACTCTTTACTATGCCATGCTGCCTCTCTGCCTGGGGGCAGTTTGGCTGGAATGTCCTGTACATGAATGGAAGTAGTATGAGTGAGCTGGAAAAATAGTGTGCCATTAGATTCTGGAACCTTGAGGATGCTAGTATCAGAGCTTTAGACTCTGGGAGACAGTGAAGAACCCCAGAGACAGCTAGGTAGTGTAGTGAATAGTATTGGATTTGGAGTCAGGAAGACCTAGGTTCAAATTTGGCCTCTCTCAGCCTCAGTTTTTCTTTTATCTGTAAGATGGGAATGATTACAGCACCTGTCTCACAAGGTCATTGTGAGGATCCAACCTCCAAGTGATATATAAAGCTGTTAGCATCACTGAAGGTTTTTTTAAATGGCGGAGTGATAATCACCCTAGTGTTTGCTGTAGAAAAATGGGTTGGAGAATTTCCTGCTTAAAACTCTTTAGGGAATTTGTTTCTTTGTGGTTTTGTTTTTGGTGAGGCAGCTGGGGTTAAGTGACTTGCCCAGGATCACACAGCTAGTGAGTGTTATGTGTCTGAGGCCAGATTTAAACTTGGGACCTCCTGACTCCAGGGCCGGTGCTCTATCCACTGAACCACCTAGCTGCCCCATTAGGTTGCTTTTTTAACAGCTTTAAAATTTCGGAGTTGAAAGCTAAACACTGAACAGATATATATATAGCATATAAGCATATGTATATGTGCTTATATACACAACGTGTGTGTGTGTATGTGTATATAATATATCATATAACATAGCATATAAAACTAGAAAAATCCTTTACTTTGTTTCAGTTATGTTGCAAGATAGGCCTGTTCATAATCATGTTCACTGTTTCTGGTTGTGAATCAAATCTCTCAATCTCTAAGGCCACCAAGCCACACTCATCTTTTTGCTTTGTCCTCCTTCCTCTTGCATCCTGAGTTTCCGTCTTGGAAGCATGTGTCCTAAGCTTGTAGCTTTTGTCTTCAGTGCTGTTTCACAACCTCAGATCCTAAGAACAGGGGAGAGCACCATGACTGTTACTTTGTTAGTTACTACTCAGCTATTTGAAAAGCTTACCGGAGGCCAAAAGTACAGAAACATTTTCAAGTAGGACACACTTTGCTTGGGTAGGAATAGTTCTTCCACAACCTGTTGTAGTGTGTGTCGTGTTTTAAAAATGCTGTAGAGCTTTGAGATCAAGAACCATGAAGAAGCTTTCAGCTTTGGAGCTGAGCTTTGAAGAACGAAGCTACTGAATCTCTTTAACTCTAATCTACCCTGTACATAACACTCCTTCTATCTTATTTATGGCTGGTACTCCTTTCTCAGAACCGTACAGTGGCTCTTTACTGCCCATTAAATTCAGTTTAACAGACATTAAGACACTCTGCTAGGTACTGGCGATACAAAGACAGGAAATGAAATACTCCTGCCCTAGAGAATAAATATTATACTGCCTAACTAATAAAGTATAAACTCCTTAGGCTGGCATTCTGGGTACTCTGGACAATCTACCCTCCTCCTAATCTTCCTTAAATACATATCTTATGTCACTCCTTTTTTCACCATGGGCTTGTTATTCAAGGTCCTGCACAGTCTGGTACTTCCTTCCTTGTGCAGCCTCATCTCACACTACCCCAGGAATCATTGAGCCAGATCAGACCTCACCATTCTGTGCCTTTAGTTCATGTCATTCTCTATACTTGGCATGTCATAGGTTCACAGATCTGGAGTTGGAATAGACCACAGAGGTCGTTTTGTCATAGGATCATAAATCTATAGCTGGAAGAAACTTCAGAACCCATCTAATCCAATCTTCTCGTTTTTCTGGGTGAAGAACCAGAGGCTCAGGGAGTGACCCCAAGGTCACGCAGACAGCAAATGGCAGTGCTGGGATTCAAACCAAAGCCCTCCAACTCCAAAGCCAGCTCTATTTTGTTAAGTACTGTTAAGGGGTCCCCTGAACTTGTCTTTTTAAATTTCCATATTTTCCAGAAACACTGGACCCAGAGCATTCAGGAGGCCCCCCCAACTCCCCAGCTGACATAATTTGCACCCCAAGCTGGATTCCCTTTGTATCCTTGGGAGGCAAGACAGGTGCTAGGCAATCTGTGCCAGGCTGGGAAAAGGTTTGTGCAGCTGGGGTCCTTTGCTGATAAACAAACCCTCCTATCTTCATAGCCTAGTGGTTCCCAAGAGAAAAGAATGCGACTTTTGCCATCCCCTTGTTTTTGTCCTTTTCCCTAGTGTTACTGCACCTGTCCCCTCCTGTGCCATGCTCCTTTATGTTTTCTGCTCCTTCTTTTGTTGTACTGTCTTAACTAAGCAAGCTTCTGTAAGGACTGTGAACTCTTTGGGTTCCACATGCGTATTCATTTCTCTTATAATAAACCTGGTTTTCACGTAAGCCTCGTGACATTGTGATTGCCCTGTTGACACTCTTACTTTGATAGTAACAGATATTATGCTTGAAGGTTTTCAGAATGCTTTACATTCATTATATCACTCGATCTTTACAGCCTTGTGAGGGAGGTACTACAATCAATCTCTCAATCAATAAGCTTTTATTTTGTAAATTTTAGACTTAAATACACAATAAGCAAAGAAAAAGAAACATAAACTTAAATATGGAAAGCTAAATACGAAATAAGAAAAGGGGAAAAAAGCATTGCTATGCATAGCCGAATGTAAGAGGATCCAAAATATACAGTAATAATTTCCATTTCAAGAAAGCCCATATAATAAATACTATGCATTGTGTTGAGAGCTGTCCATCTTTTTCTTTGCTTCCTTGTAAGATTTCTTTTGTTCTCTGCTGTGTGCACTTTTCACTTTGTTCTTACTTATTTGCTCTCCCAATTCTCTCCAGTATTTCTCACCTAACACTTTGTCTGCCTTTCCCTTATGTATTTAACCATTTATCTTTTTATATCATTTGTGTATCTTTCATATTAACCCTGCCTGACTATGAGCTCCATGTGGACAGAGGTTATGTGTTAGTCAAACTATGTAATTCCCCCAGTACCTAACATAGTGAGTGCTCTGCACATAGTTGATACTTAATAAATATCTGTTGAATTGAAATGAGGTGGTAAGTGTAGAAGGGCTTTTTAACATAAAGCCTTTATATATGTAAGCTGTGTTATCATCATTGTATTTGTGTTTCAGATGGTGACCCTCTTTCAGATGTGGGTTGTCCCCCTCTATTTCACAGTGAAGCTACACTGGTGGAGGTTCCTAGTGATCTGGGTCCTGTTCTCTGCTGTTACTGCCTTTGTTACTTTCCGAGCCACTCGAAAACCATTGGTGCAGACAACCCCGAGGTGAGAATTATGCAGGGGAGAAGGGCAAAGGGGAGGGATTGGGTCATAGAATCGTAGCATTGTAGAGGCAGCTCTATCTAGAATGCCACCCTACTTTTCACCATTTCCCCCCCCCCCCCATTTCTCTCCACCAATATAGAGATGAATTGTCTGAGCAGAATTCACTCCTCTGCCTTGTAAAGCCTGGTGGGATGCTTTAGCTCTCTGATAGGCTAGTCATCGCAGTGTAGAGCTTCTAGAGACCATGCTGCCTTACAGTTTGGTTCCTCCTGGGCGTTTTGCCATTAGAAGTCCATTCCAGGTTTGTAACCGCAGTCAGTAGTCAAGCAAAATGTGATTAGGAAGGACTCATCTTCAAAGTGAAGGGGGTTGTGGGGGCAGCTAGGTGGCACAGTGGATACAGCACCGGCCTTGGAGTCAGGAGGACCTGAGTTCAAATGCGGCCTCAGATGCTTAACACTGACTAACTCTGTGACCCTGGGCAAGTCACTTAACCCCATTGCTGAGCAAAACAAAACAAAATGAAAAAACAGCGAAGGGATTGGACTAGATGACCAAACATGGCATTAGGTTTCCTTGAGGCAGGGGTGAAGTGGATGAATAGTGAACTCTCCATCATTGTAGAACTGCAAGGTGAATTTGAATGATCACTTGTAAAGTCTGTTGTAAAAGGAACACTTTTTCAGATATGAATTGGACTAGATGGACTTCAAAATAGTGCTGGAACCGGAAAGGGAGAATTCTATTCTACATCTGATTTTCACTTATAGGGAAGAACTGGTTTCTGGGATAGAAATAATGGGTACTTTTTGACAAAACTACTCCCTCTTAGAATTTGTGATGAGGAAGGCAAAAAATGAATGTTAAAAAATAATAATAAAAATAAAATCAGAGACAGAGAGAAGCCAGGCTTAGTTTGCCATTCGTCTAGATTTTGGGAAAGCAGATCTTAAAGGTTTGAGACAAAGGAAACGTGGATTCCATGGACTAAAATTCTACAAAGGAAGTCAATTCAGGAGACGTGGAAAGCCCTCAAAAAGGAGAGTCTGCAGCCACAAAGGGAAACAGTTCTGATTTGGAGGGAAAATGGGAGTTGTGGGAAGGGACTGATGAGGATTCACAGAGAATTTATAAGACATGTACAGAAAATGAAATGTATAGCAGGTAGCAAGATGAATGTAAAAATATGTCTCAAGTCTGTAAAAATAGTGTCAAATACCTGAGTCAAAGCTCAGATTGAGTTGAAATAGACAAGAAAAGCTAAGAATAAGAAATAGGTTGTTGTTGTTGGGGTTTTTTTAAGCTATGTTAGGATTATAGCTAGCAGTATTTGGGACAATGATAATTGATGACAGAGGAAAGATAATGTTGCCTAATCTTTATTTTGCTTCTGTTTGCTCTGCCAAAAAGAATGTTAGAGTGGAAAAAAAAAACATGCAGAAGTGGTTAATGGGGAATTGGTAAGAATGAGTAAGGAGACTGTAGAACCTTTCGTGAGTCGACATTATCTGGCCCAGAAGCCCAGTGTCTTCACACAGTGTTTCTCCAAGGGTATGGGCCAGGGGATTTTCACCAAAGATGCCATGAAATTTTGCTCTCCAGATATCTAAAACTTTATTATTTGTAAACTTCGTACTTTGGCCATTCTTAGAAATTCAGTTGCTTTTGAGCTTGAGTTAATGTTGTAAACCATCAAACTCTGAACAAAACAAAATGTCCTTCCAAACTGCAAGTGATTACAAATATTTATTGCTTTCAGAATGTTAATTCACTGCACCCCAAGTGTTCCTTCTCATACTCCAAGACTTCTACATTCCTCAGTCCCCAACCTCAACTGCAGCTTGATGTCTGATCTAATGACCAGTGGTTTGTTAATTGCCAATGGGTTATTCTCAGTGCTCATCCTTGAATTCTCTGCCATATTTGACACGGTTGACTATTTTCTATTTGTTAGACACCTTTTCTTGCCTCGGTTTTCTTAATATTGTTCTCTCATGGTTCTCTTCACGCATGTCATCAACATCACTGTTCAGATTATTGATGAGAAAAGTTGTCTGAGACCAGTCTCAAGAGGCTGCGCCTTGAGACTTCCCTCCAGGCTGACTTGAATTATTCTTTAGGTTCAATTTTTCTGCCAGTTAAAAAGTCCCCCTGATTTTACTATCATGTAGCCCAGATCTCCCCGTGTTTTTTGCAAGGATATTTTAAGTGATATTGTCCCTTTAATCACAAATATAGCTGTAGTCCTGGTGCCTGGTGTAATGGAAAAAGCTGTGGTCTGGGAGCCTAAAGGAAGAGGCTTTCAAGTCCTGGCTGTGCCAGTCATTAGATGCGTGACCTTGGGCAAGGCTCTTGGATTCTTTGAGTTTTCTCATGTAAAGCGGTGTCAGGTTTAATCCTATGTTGTGTTGTTTCCATGATCTGGCATTGTCACTACCACTTCGTGAAGTAAGTGTCAACCCCTGACACACCACACAACATTTAGCACAGTGCCTAGCGCACAGTAGGTGCACAGTAAATGCGAAGGGTGGGGCTGGTGGCTTAATAAATGAGAAGTTAAGTGCCTTTCCATGGGTCAGGAAGCTGTTTAATAGCAGAGAAGAAGTTTGGACTATTTGACCTGAAGTACAGGTATCAGCCTTGTCTCTATTCTCTTCTTATACTTTAATAATATGTGATCCCAGATTTGAAGATTTGATTTTGGGGCCTTCGGGTCCCCATGTTTCTGACAAGTGAGCATGGCTAGAGACATTGAGATCACTCAGGTAGGGCCTCCATCCTCTGCATCCCTTACTCCTTCTTTGTGGGAAGTAGTAAGATCATTCCATCTCCTTTTATTTTCATTATTTCCTCTGCCACACCCCTCTTCCTCCTCAAAAAAAAGTTGGCCAGCCTCCTTCCTGGGCTGTGACCACAAGGTCACAGCTTGGCATCATTCACAATAGCAACCTTACCCTCAGACCAGCCAGTTAAGGTGCTGTAAAGTGTGGATGTAGAGGAATAGACATTACATGTGGGTTGGCAAAATTACCAGTGTGCAACGTGAGGTTATCGTGAGACAGATACCTTGGTCTTGTATCTTTCTGTCCAGCCTTTTGAACTTAACCTTCTTCCATCACATCTACTTGCTACTTGTCTAAGAAGCCTGTTTTCCTCTTCATTGCACCCTGATTTTGTTTTGTTTTGGTTTTTTACCCTCCACCCACTCCAGTGATTTCTTGGTTACCAGGGAAATGGAGAGCTCTTTTCTTTGGTTCTCCAGGCTTTTGCCTTCCTTAGCTAGAGTGCATGTAAAACTTAAGCTTTGCATAGCTGTATGCATGATAGAGCCGTAGGAAGCCATTAAGGAAAGTCCAGGATATATGGAGCATATTCCATCCCTGTCCCAGGGTGATAGAAATAATAATAACACAGTTTTTTTTTACTGTGTTAAGGTTTATTAAGAATTTGCAAGGAAGGTTATACAAATATTTTGAACTCAATTTTACAGTTGAGGAAACTCCAGGTTAAGGGCAGGCAGGAGTGACTTACCCATATAGTAACAGTCTCATCTGAACCCACACCCAGAGGATTTTCTGTCTCCAAGACCAGTACTCTTTCCCTTATATTGCATTGCTTTGTACCTGAACTCAAAGGCAGGTCCAAGACATATTATCTCACCACTGTACCATCCTGTCTTCTAAAAACGTCTAGAAGGGTTATGATGGAATTCTTCAAAGTATCTTCATTAAGAAACAGCCCTAGAGATAGAGAGACCTTGAAGCTAACCTCGGGACCCCAGCAGAGCAAGATGGCATTGTAATGGTTAGGCCTGTTTCGCTATCTTACTGAGGTTGCAGAAGAAAAGAGGATGGTTCTGTGGAGAGGATATGCTACATGAATTGGCCTTAGTACCCAGTAATTCTTGCTGTTCCAGATGTCAGGGACTTTGCCCCATGACATTTAAAAGGAGAAATTATCTCCTCCTACCTCTGGTCCTGGCAAATCCCAACTAACTTAAGGGAAGTAACCTCCAGAATTCACAATTCCATCTGTTGAGGACTGAGCAGGGCTGCCACTGCCTCAAGATAAACAAAAAAGCAGTAGGTCGCCTTGGCACTTCCTTTAATGTTCGTTGGCTTTGGGAAGAAAATTGGAAGAGATTTTGAGAACTTGGATGTATTGATCCTCCCTTCTCCATGTTTTTTTTCTAGGCTGGTTTATAAGTGGTTCTTGCTAATATACAAAATCAGCTATGCCACTGGAATTGTTGGCTACATGGCTGTGATGTTCACCCTCTTCGGGATTAACTTGTTATTCAGGTAAGTAAATGCCCAGTGTATGTTGTGCTTTAGTTCCCAGGTTGGGGAAAGGATGGGTTTGGCCTTGTTTTCTAAGGGGTTCCCAGCTGAGTGAAATGTTTATTCATCTGTTCAGTCAACAAACATTTATTAAGTGCTAACTCTCTTAAGAACACTACAAAAAGCACTGCTTAGTATATGTGTACTATATATAGTAGTGTATGTGGGGCCAGTACCAGAGAGCAGGGGAGGGGTTTGCATCTGAGGCCTTGGTATGATAGAAAGAAACCTTCACCAAGAGCTAGGAAAACTGACTCTCTGACCTCAGTTGATTTACGTGATGTCCTTGAGCCTTAGTTCTTTCACCTGTAAAACAGAGAGAATGAAGTTTACCTACCAGATGGAACTATTCTGAAGGTCCAATGATGTAATGAAGGTAAAGCCTTATCTAAGTGACAGTATTTCCATTATCAATAGAACGTATTCTCAGTGCTTTATGGTAATGAAGAGCAGAAGAGTCTAGATAGCTAAAACTGACTAGTAGGTCAAAATAATGTGGGAGAGAAGTAATAGATCTATCCAACTTGAATGTCTCCCTGAGACATAAAGAACAATAGCAATGATTGATTATAGAATTTTAAGCTAAAAAGATCCTTAAGGATTGTCTGGTTCAACCTTTACATTTTCCGGGGAAGGATCCTGAGGCCCAAAAGTGGTTTGAAGCAGAAGAAAGAGACTTAGCTAAAATCATATAGCAAGTCAGTGACAGAGTTGGGACTAGAACGTAAGTCCTTGCTCTGAGAGCTGCCTTCTTCCTAGGGCTATTGTGAGAAATAGATGAGAAAATGAACGTGAACAGTCTTTGGAAAAGTTTTCCTACTGAGCAGATATGAGTCCAGGCTTCCCAGGTCCTGGTTGTTGGCTTACAGCAGAAGTAGAGGACTAGGCTGGAATCCCAAGGAGACCAGTTCTAATGCACTTTCCAAGCTCAGCTGCAGATAAGAACAAGCACAGTAGCTCACTCTTCTGATGGATTTGACTTTCCCAAGGTGCTGACAGACGTCCTCATTGAACCTTCATGTAGCCCTTGGAGGTAGGCAATATAAGTATTACCCCCATTTGACAAATGGGGAGTCTGAAACTTCAGTGACTTGCCCAAGTTAAGCAGTTTGTCCCAGCTTTCCTAGCTTGTTATTCAGTTCCATTCAACACAGATTTAGGTTTTCTGCCCTAAAGGAGATTGCTTAGAAAGACTAATGTGGGTATGGGTAAGCAAATAAGAAGTGTTTCCAGTAGACAAGGGAGGAATAAGGGGTCATGTTGGGTGGGTGGTCAGGGAAATCTTTATGGATGAAGTAATGCCCAAGCTGTGCCTCCAAGGAATAGATAATTACAGATGAGAAGGGGTGAGTTTGACGTCTTGACTGATGCACTTAAGTGGGAGGAGCCGGGATTTGATTAAGTGTTAGCAAGTAGGTCCATCTGGCTAAAACAAGAGTACAAAGAGAGAGTAATATGAAATTGAAACTAGAGGAGATAGATTGGAGCCATATTATGGAAGGGTTACAATGATCTAAGAAGTTTCTGTTTTATCCTGATGTAAATACAGTGGTTTGAGCAGGCAATTATGCATTATTAAATGTTGGAACTGAAGCTCTAGCCTAGGATTTCTGACTCCAGGCTCAGTACTTTTTCAAATACCACACTGCCTCAGGAAGAACTTTGTTGTGGAAAGATCTAGGCCACTTGTGGCCCTCTAGGTCCTCAAATGCAGCTCTTTGACTGAATCCAAACTTATTTTTATTATTTATTCATTATTTTAAGGGGATTTGTTCTGTGAAGTTTGGTTTCAGTCAGAGGGCTGCACTTGAGGACCTAGAGGGCCACATAAGGCTTCAAGGCTGCAGGTTCCCTACCCTTCATCTAGGCTGTAAAGATCTTGATTGTGTAAATTTATGAAGAGAAAGGAGAGGGTATTCTGTGAACTTTTCCCTGCCCCCTGGGGACAGCTTTTGAGACTTGGAGAGTTTTAGGACAAATGAAAAGCAAGTTTGCTTTCTGTTCCTGGATGAAGCTTCCATAATGGGTCATTGTCAATAACAACAGATATTGGGTTGTACCTCCTGTGTGTAAAACTCTGTTCTGGGTACTAGAGAAGTACTTGGAGCTAGTGGAACCTAGTAGAGGATCTAAGCTACAAACATAACTACCATACGCAATACAATACGTGGCAAGGACATCAGGGGGTAGAGGAGACTGTGGAAAGCATCTTGCTGTGGCCTCTAGGCCTTGCTGACTGCTGTAGTTCTTAGGGCATCATATCTTCAACTCTTCTTTGTTAAGCACATTTATTAAGCACCTGCACCATGTAGAGCACTGTATTAGTAGCCAAGGTTACAAAGAACACAAAAGAAACCATCCTTATCCTCAAGGACCTTACCTTCTACTGTCAACTCCTTCCAGGAACCAATACTGGAGACCTTGCCTTTTGCCTGAGCCTTTCTTCTTTTATTGCTCTACATACTTGTCAGTAAATCCTATGTCCTAAATTTCAACTTTACTGGCCCCTGAGCTTGCTTGGTCCCTTTGGTCCCTTTGATTTAGAAACTTGCTTCCCAGATCTCTAATTACTAATTCCTCTTATCTCTTGTTGCCTCTTGGTGCCCAATTCTGGTATTCATTGTCTCTCACCTTTCTTATCATCTCTACATAACCGGATTACAAGAGTTCATTTCTAGAGTTTACTCACAAGGGAAAAGAAAATTGTATGATGATTAAGAATAGGGCTCCAGCTGGATAATAGTTAAGCCTGCCAACATCATCCTTATCTAAAAGTCCCCAAACCTAATTTGATTTTGGCCTAGAGCCCACAGCCCATTGTGCTATTCTGTTTCAACCCCAAAACAAAATACATCTTCCCCACTAGAATGTCACTGCCCTGAGCATCTCTCCCTCCACCCAGTCGGTTGGTCAAGAGATAAAAAAATGCTACTATGTACAACTATTTTTTTTCTCTAGTTATCCAGAAAGCTGAATAAGTTAGCCTTACAAACAAAGATCTGTCTCTCCTTCTGGATTATGGATTACAGTTGGGGGTCATGTTTCCACCTCCAGTTGGGGAGCTTTCTGAGTCTTCCTCCTTATTCTTCTATGGCATTTATGTTATAAACCCTGGAAATTTCCTCTCGTTTGAGCTTATGTATTGTCAAAAAAAGATCAGACCTTAAAGGGACCTCTGTAGTCATCTAGTACAACCTCTACCTGAGGCTTTCTGTAAAAAGCTTGTCATAAAGCCATGTAGACTCCACTTAAAGACCTCCAGTGATGGTGAAATCACCACCCATTCCATTTGGGGCAGCTTTTAATTGCTTGTGCTGAGCCCAACCAACATCATAGCAATCACTGGGCTGCTTCTTATGAATCCGAGGCAAGAGCAGATCCAGGTTCTCAGTTGTTCCTTGTCTGTGTTTTTTTTCCGTCTCTTCCTCCCACCCCTCTGGGATCCCAAAATAAACAGGCATAGCCATCATCATGCCTGGCTTCTCCTGGGTGCCCTGATCTATGTTTCTGTTCAGACTAAGGTGGGAACAAATCCCTTTCCTCTTAAGTTTAGCCAAGTCCAAGACCAAAGCTTGGGATCCTGGGAAAACCAGGAGAAATAGAGCAGTTCTAGAAGGGAAGAACCCAGGAAGGACTCACCTGGCTTGCCAAAAATGCTCTGTGGGCCTGGTCATCCCAGAACACATGCCCTCAGTGGTCCCTGTCAGTCTCTTCCTTGGAATGTAGTCCTCTCAGATATACATAGGTACATGGTAGCACTGTCTTGTTAAGCAAATTCCGATCTAATGTAATTAGATTGTAAATACATTCTAGTGTAGTAACATACAGTTATTAAGTACCTGCAATACACACAGCACCTTGCCAGGTGCTAGAGAAAGTTATTGCCAAGACATTGTCCCTGCCTTCGTGGTATTTGCAGTTTAGTAAAGAGAATAGAATAATGATAAAAAATAACTCACATTTATGTGATGGCTTCAGGTTTACTAAACACTTTACATGCATAGACAGATACATTTAATATTTGATTTGTGCATTCTTGAAGGCCATTGCCCATGCCTCAAATACATTCCCTCCACATCATTACCAATTGAAGTCTTTCTGCTTCTTCAAGGGCCAAGAGTACTTTTTCTAACCATTCCTATGCCCTTCTCATATTTCTTCCTTGTATCATATTTATCTGTATACATGTTATATATCTGTTGGGAAATTGCAAGCTCTTTGAGGGCAGGGATTGTATTGGTTTTCATCATTTCTCTAGCACCCAAGGCACAGAACCTAGGTATTTAATAAATGCTTCTTAAATTGAGCTGAGGTAGGGAGGTGCCAGTAAAGATCTCCCTAGAAGTCTTTAGGATCTTTCCTGCTGTGTCCAGAGTTTATGTTTCCCCCATGAAACTTGTCTCCTAGAATAACTTTGAGCTACTTAGTCCCCTGCTACAAGCAGTCAGAGCTGGCAGCTTGTTTACAGGTTGGCACATTAGTACCTAGCTGCATCCTGCTGTAGGTCTGCTAAAGATGACAACTCTTATGTGCCTTTCTTCCTTCAGTTTCTAGCAATTACCCGGTCCCACCCATGACCGCAGTGTTCAAGTTGTAGCTCTTGAAACATGCCCGTGGTAAGTTGTGTCAGAAATAATTGAATAGATGTTCTCTTCCTTTTGTCATTTGATATATGAGGACATCCTCAGTTTTTCCAAAGATGCATCCTAACCTAGGACAGGCATTGTCACCTCTATCACCTTTCATTTGGGCTATTAAATTAGCATCCTAACCTGCGTTCCCATTTCTAGCTTTTTCTAATCCACCCAAAACATTATAGCCACATTAAATTTCTTAAAGCCTGGCTGCAGTCATGTCCCTCCTTAGCTCAGAACCTTCAGTGGTATTCTTTTGGCCTCCAGTGCCTAGAGGAGAAAGTTCAATTAGGATCACAGAATTGTCAACTTGGAAAGAATCTCAGAGTTTATCTAGAGTCCAGTCTTTACCTAGACAGGCATCTGTTCCTCTATAACATCAAATGGTCATCCAACCTTTGCTACAAGACTTGTAGAGCTGTAGTTGATGGAACACTGGGAGTCAGGAAGATCTGGTTTCTTATTTTACCTCAGACACTTAAAATCTGTGTAATCCTCAACAAATCATTTAGCCTCTCTGTAATCATTGCCTCATCTGTAAAATGAGGCTGGACTTAATGGAGGCTGGAACTAAAAGAGGCTCACTCCTCCTCTAAATCTGTGCTTCCATGATTTCCAGTCAGGGGAAACCCATAACCTCCCAAGGTGGCCCATTCACTTGTAGCATTAATTGTTAGGAAATGTTTCCTTGTATCAAGGCAATAGCTATCTTTCTGCAGCTTTTACACATTGCTCCTAGTTTTGCCCTTTGTAGCCAAACAGAGTAAGTATATGTTTTCCACAAGACAACCCTTTCAAATACTTGAAGATCCCTCTCATGTTCTTCTTAAGTCTTTAGGGTCTTCCACGTACAGCAGTTTTTTAGCCTTATCATTTGTAAGTGACACAGTGGGTAAAGCACCAGGCCTGGAATCAGGAAGACCTGAATGCAAATCTAGCTTCAGACACTTATTAGCTGTGTGATCCTGGGCAAATCACTTAACCTCTGTTTGCCTCAGTTTCCTCATCTGTAAAATAGTGATTATAACAGTACCTATTTCCAGGGTTGTTGTGAGAATCAAATGAGGTAATATTCGTAAAGTGTCGAGCACATAATAGATGCTGTATAAATGCTTATTCCCTTCCTTCTCCCTTCTATTTCATACTAGTATTCATCATATTATTTTGTGTCTGACCAAACTAGAGTAGTGGCCAGGCCCCAAACATATTCCATAATTTACTACACCGGGAATGCCATCTTTACCACCATCACCCACTTAGCAAACAGATAACAAACACCAATTACATGCCCAGACATTGTGCTCAGCTCTGAGGATACAAAGATGATGAATGACACATTATGTTCTCTCAAGAGCTTCCCTTCTAAAGTGTGTGTGGAGGGGGTGAGGTAATGGGAACAAATGAGAATCCCAGATAGAATGCTGAGGAGGAAGAGAGAATATTTTCAGCTTTGGAAAAGATGGAAAAGTATAGAGAATGGTGACACCAGAGCTTTGCCTTAAAGAAAGAGAAGAATTCTTCTTTCTTTGAACAGGCTGATGTGGAAGGAAATGTATTTTTGCCCTGGGGTTATTGCCTGTGCATAGAAGCAGGTAGAATGAAACAAGGGGGTAAACTAGGAAACAGTTAATGTCCATCTTGGTTGGAAAGTAGAATGCATGAAGTAGAAGTATAATGTGAGATAAAGGATAGTTTGTAGCCACTTTGGGGAAGTCCTTAAATGCTAGGCAAAGTAGTTTATATTTTAATCCTAAAGGCAATGGGAAACCACTGAAGGTTTCTGGCAGGAGAGTTGATAATGGCCAGCTAACATCCTATTCATGCTTTAAGGCACAACTCCTTCATTCATTCCTTCAACAACTCATTTATTAAACATCTGTTATATGTAGAGTACCTCATCTGGGAAACTTTCCCTCCCCTCTCCTGCCAATCTCAAAGTCATTTCACCCTCATCTGATCTCATAGAACTTTATATAATCCTTATCCACTGATTTTCTAATTTATATTTATTTGTGTGTGGTTCTATTTACCCCTACTAAAATCATTCAGTAAACCTTTATTAAGTGCCTACTATGTACCAGGCACTGTTTTAAGCCTTAACGGCAAGGATGATGTCCAGCATTGAGAATTTAACATAGCCTTTTTATAGATACCTGTTGAGTAAATGAACTAATAAGGTTATGTAACTTGAGATTCTAGGCTCTGTCCACTAAAATAAAGAAAACTAAGAGCAGGCTGTTAGGGATCCAGGAATTAACTTCACAGTAGAGTAATTTGAAACAGTCTCCCAAGTTTATTGGCTTTCCAGCCTATTGTTAGTGATGCTGTGTACACCTAGAGCTGGAAGGAGTGGCTTTGCGTCTAGTACAGCATGTTGCTGTCATGGAAACCAGAATCTTCCTGTACTCATCCTCAGAGGTCATCTGTGATGCAAGGGATAAAAAAGGCTTCTCCTTTTCTTTTTCCTTTTTTTTTTCCTTTGCCAAGTAGTGGGGTTAAGTGACTTGCCCAAGGTCCCACAGCTAGTAAATGTTATGTGTCTGAGGCTGGATTTGAACTCAGGTCCTCCTGACTCCAGGGCCGGTGCTCTTTCCACTGAGCCACCTAGCTGCCCCTCAAATTTTTTTTTTTATTTTTAGGCAATTGGTGTTAAGTGACTTGCTCAGGGTCACACAGCTAGTAAGTGTCAAGGGTTTGGTCTGAGGCCAGATTTGAACTCAGGTCCTCCTGACTTCAGGGCCAGAACTCTATCCACTGTGCCACCTAGCTGCCCCTGGGCTTCTCCTTTTCTGAGGCAAGCTTTGCTTTGAGGCGGGTTTTTTTTAAGTGTACTGCCATGCGCCATCCCCATCCCTAATGCTGGGCCCCTTCCCCCTCAAGTTTTGTGCTCTTTTTTCAGTTATAATCTTAGGCTTGTGCTGGAGCCAGAGGGATACCCCAGACAGGGACTAGATGTGGCCATGGGCAATCCTATGCTTCCCTGAGTGATCCTCCTGCTTCCCTTACAGAGTCAAACCAGAAGATGCAATGGATTTTGGGATCTCCCTTCTGTTTTATGGCCTTTACTATGGAGTCCTTGAGCGAGACTTTGCGGAAATGTGTGCAGACTACATGGCTTCCACAATAGGGGTAAGTTCACCCAGAAAGACAAGGCTCACTTTGGTGCTGTCACCAGAGAACCATGGATAATATCTCAGGTGTGAGTGTATCAGGAATGGGCTGGGGGAAATGTGATGGAAAGGACTTTGGATTTGGAGTCAGAAGATATGAAATTGAAAATCCTTTGTCACTTTCTAGTTGTATTAACCTTGAACAAGTCACTTCACCAGTCTAGGCCTCAGTTTCCTTATCTGTACAATGGAAATTGTAGTGATAACTGAAATTTATGTAAAGTTTTAAGGTCTATAAAGTGCTATATATACGTGTGTGTGTGTGTGTGTGTGTGTGTGTGTATGTGTGTGTGTGTATTTCTAATTTGAGCCTTACAGTAACTTTAAATTAGGTACTATAGGTATGATAGCTTTTTTATAGATGAAGAATAGCTCCTTCTTTTCATATATTTAAGGTTTATTTTCTTCATAAAAATCCTGTGAGGCAGGTAGTCTATGTGTTCCTATCCCCCTTTTATAGATAAGAAAGCTGAAGCTCAGAGAGGGAAAGTGACATTTTCATGGTCAAACAGCTAAGAAGTGTCAGAGCTAGGATATTCATCTAAGTCTTTTTACTCCACAATTATATCACTGTACTTTTCACTGACCCAGGCTACTATCCAATAATAGTTTATAAACTGCTTTGCAAACTGCAAAGCTTGACATGATGTCAACCATTTTGAGAACAGGCTATCAAGATAAAGGCCGAGGGAGAATACATGATTGAAGTCTCTAAAATCATTAAGCATGAAAATAAAAGTTAACGTGTACTTGTTGACCAAGTCTCAGAAGTCTGCTCTCTGAAGGTCTGGTAGGTCAATAAAGGGAAATACTCTTTTGCCCAATGGGTATTTATATGTGAAAATTGTTACGTGGGCTGAAAATACAAGTAGGTCAAAGAATGGATTGAATAACAGTTCACACTTTTGTGGTATTTTCCAGGGGGAAAGTACTTTATTTAGTAGATCATGTTTAATATAATGTGGAATTCAGGTAACTTTGGATATTCAGCATCCATCCCTCACTTTCAGGATGTTATAGAGTACAGTTAAATCGATCAGCTTTGCACTCCATTATATCCCCATATAAGGCATAATCCTGGCCTTGAGATCCATTCTCTCTGTAATATTATTTGTCTCCTTGTTCCATCGTTGTTTCCTACAGGCCAGAGAAGCCAGGCTCAGTATCGCAGAGAGAGGTGGTAGAAAGAGCTACTTCTTAGCCATGTGAATATAGTCAGTCCACTTAACCTGTGAGCTTTGGCTTCCTCAGTGATATCATTACTCGTGCTCCCAAACTCAAAGGGTTCTTGTCAGGTAACTCACTGCTTTGTGACCTGTAAAGCGTTATGACGTTCAGGAGCTATTACCATTAATGTACATGTTCTCTTATGATGCTTCACTGTAGCAGAGGAGTTGTTTTAGTTGTCAGAGTTTCTGCCAGTACTTTACCAATCTGGAAAGACTGAGTTTGGGTTGTTCCCACTATAGATTGTATGTCCGTCATCCAAGATCATCCTAGCTGATTGTGGACAGGGTCATCACCAAAGCATGGCTGTGGTGGGTGAGGCCTGACACAGACCAGTCCCCTGATAGTTTGAATGAAATGAGATGATAGTAAGCCATTCAGCAGGTAACAGAAGGGAGTGTACTTGTCCATCGCTGACGAAAGACATTCAGCAAAGGTATCCAGTGAGTATACACATTAATTCAGGTGAGCACCAATTTGTAGTGCTACTCTTACTGTCATTTCATAGTCATAAGGCACAGGGAGAAAGTTGGAGCTCTTCCTGGCCTTTTGTATTCAGACAATCAGGAAGGTCCTTTAGCAACTTGAGCCAGTTCTTAGCCAATCCAGTCTCAAGAAAAATTTCAATGCTGAAATTCTTAAGGAACAGAATTAGCCTAACCTGTATGGGGCAGAGCCTTAGGAAAAGAAAAGCAAGCCCAATCTACCAGCCCTGAAAAAGAAATATTGCTCCTTTCAAAGTAGGCCTCCAGGTAATGATTTTTTGGGCCACAACAAACACATGAAGACCTTTTTACAAAGGCATCAAGGGTTTGGGATGAATATTAGTCGGAGAAGGACTTATACCAATTACCCTTGATAGATGAAGTATTTATTTTTAATGAAGAAACAAAATGAAACACCAAGATTGTCACCCAGTTACTGTCACAGAATGGCAGAGCTGGAAAGGCTCTTGAGAAGTTATTTGGCAAATCCCTGCCTGTCATTTCTTTAAAGTCTGTAAGGATAGAGACTCCACAGTCCTCTTCAGTAACCTATTCCAGAGTCATTGAGTCACCCTCTTAGGCTTTCCCTTCTCCAGAATAAGCTATTCTTATTCCTTGGGCTTCTCTTCCTAACACCTACTTTCTGTCCCTCTGCCTATTTTATTTACCCTTACTTGACCCTCTCCAGTGTTTCCACATTGGTGTTTTTTGTTTTTATTTTTTGGTTTTTTTGTTGGGGAAATCAGGGTTAAGTGACTTTCACAGCTAGTAAGTGTCATGTCTGAGGCCGGATTTGACCTCAGGTCTTCCTGATTCCAGTGCCAGTGATCTATCCACTGCGCCACCTAGCTGCCCCCACATTGGTTTTTAAGTATGGTGATTAAACCAGGAGACAGGCCTCTTTGCTGGACCTCTAATGCACAGTATTCAGCACTACTTCCTGGGCAGTAGTCTCATATTTGTACTTTCAAGGATCATGGGACTTTTTTCATATTAGTATTTAACCAGTCACCACAGTGAAATCATGAATATTTTTAAATTTTTTAGTTATTAAAGATGAATGCTCTTAAGCAAGTTCCTCCTACTTTTTTAACCTTAGTTTCTTCCTCTGCAGAGAGGAGTTGACTTAGACAGGGGAATCTTTGGCTTCCCCAAGTGCCACTGACTTCATTTTATTAATTATTTGCTAGCCATAATTAAGAAAACTGATTATTAGTTACCCAGAAGTTATGTCTCTGGGACTTTTTATTTGTCAAACAGGAGAAATGCACCAAGTTGGAAGCAGAACATCCTAGTGAGGTAGAAAGAGTACCATATTTAGAGTTAGAGGACCTGAATTCAAACCCTGGTTTGGCTATTTACTAGTTGTTTTACCTTGAGAAAATCACTTTGCTTCTATGGAATTCATTTATCAAAGGAATGGTTTGGATTGATGACTTTAAGACCTCTTCAGTTTTTTTTTTCCATATCAGTCTTGTTTTAAGGAAGAATTAGAACCAATAGGAGGAACCACAAGAAAAAGGAAACAAAACAAAACAGAAGGAAAAAAAAAGAGCAAATAGTATGCTTCAATCTGCATTCAAACTCCATAGTTCTTTCTCTGGATGTGGATAGCATTTTCCTTCATGAGACTTTTGGAGATCTTTGCTGAGAAGGTCTAAGTCTATCAAAGTTAGTCATCACAGAATGTGGCTATTATTGTGTACAACATTCTCCTGGTTCTGCTCACTTCACTCAGCATCAGTCCGTACAAGATTTTCCAGGTTTTTCTGAAGTCTACTTGCTCATCATTTCTTATAGAACAATAGTATTCTATTACATTCATATACAACTTGTTCAGCCATTTCCCAACTGATGGGCATCCTCTCAATTTCCAATTCATTCCCACCACAGAAAGAGCTGCTATAAATATTTTTGTACATGTGGATTCTTTTCCCATTTTATTGATCTCCTTGGTATATAGCCCTAGAAATGCTGTTGCTGGGTCAAAGGGTATGCACATATTTATATCCCTTTGGGTATAGTTCCAAATTGCTCTCCAGAATGGTTGGATCAGTTTACAACTCCACCAACAATGCATTAGTGTTCCAATTTCCCCACATCTTCTCCAGCATTTATCATTTTCCTGTTTTGTCATGATGGCCAGTCTGATAGGTGTAATGTGGTACCTCAGAGTTGTTTTGATTTGCATTTCTCTAATCAATAGTGCTTTAGAGCATTTTTTCATATGACTATAGATGACTTTAATTTCTTCATCTGAAAACTGTGTGTTCATATCCTTTGACCATTTATCAATTGAGAAATGACTTGTATTCTTATAAATTTGACTTAGTTCTCTATATATTTTAGAAATGAGGCTCTTATCAGAGACACTGGTTGTAAAAATTCTTTCTTAGTTTTCTGTTTCCCTCCTAATCTTGGTTGCATTGGCTTTGTTTGTGCAAAAACCTTTTCAATTTAATGTAATCAAAATGATCAGTTTTGCATTTCATAATGTTTTCTATCTCTTATTTGGTCATAAATTCTTCTGTTCATCATAGATCTGACAGGTAAACTATTCCTTGCTGTCCTAGTTTGCTTATAGTATCAGCCTTTATATCTAAATCATGTACCCATTTTGACTTTATTTTGGTATATGATGTAAGATTTTGGTCTATGCCTAGTTTCTGCCATATACTTTCCCAGTTTTCCCAGCAGTTTTTGTCAAATAGTGAGTTCTTATCCCAGAAGCTGACGTCTTTGGGTTTATCGAACAATAGACTACTATAGCCATTGACTACTGTGTCTTGCATACCTAACCTATTCCACTGACCCACCACTCTATTTCTTAGCCAGTATCAAGAAGTTTTGATGATTGCTGCTTTATGATACAATTTAATTAGGCAAAAGTTCTTAACCTAAAATCTGTGAACTTTTAAAAAATGTTTTGATATTTTTAATATAATTGGCTTCCTTTGTAATGTATTTTATGCATTTAAAAACATAATTCCAAAAAGGGGTCCATAAGCTTCACTTCGTAGGACTCCACAAAAGGTCCATGACACAAAAATGTTTAAGAACCTCTAGTCTAATGCAAAGAGACAAATTGGACCTCATATTTATCACTGAGACTTGGTGCTATGAAACTTTTGAGTGGTCTGTGGCTCTAGATGGATATACTTTTATTTAAAAAAAACAAACTGGTGATGGGAAAGGTGCAGTGACATAGGATTAGGTGTTAAGAAAGCATAGTCATGTGAGGAAATCC